TCTGAGCTTTGTTAAACACCATTTGAATGTAAAGAACTGACTTAGTTGGAATTACACCAGGTGAACTGGTTTGTGCTGTTAAACCGACCCCTCTCAAATAGCATTAGTCTAACTATTTTTCACACATGAAAGGAACCAGTAACGCAAACGATCAATAGAGATTGCATTCATGTGCCATCAGAACATTCTAAATTGCCAACTGATACCGTGTAAGCACTGCTTTGTCTAAAACTATTACTTTAGATTTGACTTTTAACACACGATCTGATCACAAAAACATTGACTTGGCTAGAACTACAACAGGTGATCTTATTTGCGTTGTTAAACAAGTCCCTTTCAACAACTATTTTCAGGCATGTAACTCAAGTTAGACCTAAATCTGAGCTTTGTTTAACACAGTCTGGCCAGAAACAACTGTTAAATAGCATGCAAGTCAAACACTCACTAGCATTTGCCTACTGTTTTTCATTTAGTGACACACATTGTTAAAAATCAAACACCTAAACAGAACCATAGAGTTCCATTGCCCTCTATGTTGAGATTTTGATAGAATCAAAGTGTAACCTATACCCTTTAATAACGTGCCATTTCTGTGTGTGACAGATCTCTGTGGACACTCTGTCCTGGGAGTTCAATGTGTCCTCTGAAGGACAACCACCTGCTGGAGCCGCCCGAAGTACAGCAACATCTCCTCACACACACTTAAGTCAAACCCCTGGAATACTGATGGTTTACATTTCCATACAAATACAATACAATGATTTTGTTCTAGAAGAGTTCCATGTGTCTTAAAACTTTCATCATCAAAATTAATAAATGTCCATTTCCTGGTACCTCTGAAGAACAATCAGAGAGAGCTATGAGTTTGAAATATTGTAAAGTTAAACAATTTGTCATAACATTATTTTCTGCTCAATTGTCAAAATTGGGATTCAGTTCTCTTCAGACAAGAACAGTGCAAAGTTGCTGCTGCTTCTTAAAGCAAACACATACATCAAACTTATAAACCAGTATGAAGCATGTTTCCTCCTGTGTGCCCTCAGGACGGAGGCTAACTCGTGCCTGGTGGAGCATGAGTCCATGCAGATGGTGTGTCCCATCCCCACCATCCACTTTAAACCTGTGGAGGGCCACAAGAAGATGTCCAAGAGTGAGTCTGCTGATCTCCCTCAGACACATGTGCAAACAGGGAGCTCATGTCAGGGAGTGCCACTGGAACATTTGGACACAACCACAGCAATGATTTTGGGCTTTTAAGCCACATTTCAGATAGAGCTGACAACCTGGACAGTACCTGGAGGAGTAAAGGGGAGGCTGGAATCAGGGAAGTCCTGTGTGATGTCATGCAGTGCTTGACATTGCCACTTTAGAACACAAAGCTACATACTGACGTAGTTCACACTAAAATGACCATAAAAAGAGAAGGACCTATAGACAGTGCTATTAAAACACCAAATACACAGTAGAAAAAAAAGTTGATTTAGTGTTTAGTTCCACAGAACTGCAAGTTTCAGCAATCCTGATTGGTAAAACTGTCTCTTTCTGAGTTCCCGTGTAAACATAACAGTTGAAGCCAAGTGAACCATCTCCATTGTTTTGAATTCCTTGTTAGCGTCATTGCAAACTTTGCTTCCGTGCAGTGAATTGAATATGGAAATACAGAATGAAACAGGAACCGCTGTGAATGGCTGAAAGCCCAGATGAGATTCCACGGAATAGAACATTACAGAGAATTGTGTCTACTGTCCAGCTTTCCTGACTAATTCAAACCAAATGTCCCTGTGTTCGTACAGCTTCACCTGACTTCTTTTGATCGTTCAGTGCTTCAGCTGCCTTCACTACAAAGCATCTCTCTGCTAGGGCTTGTTGGTAATTAGTAATGTCAGACACCTAATCTTAAACATTCAAATGGAAAGTGAAAGATGAATAACTGCTGAACAACACTTTTCCCCATACATATATCATACACAGTGGGGAATTCCACACCATGTCATTTCATTTTTGGGCACATAAAGATGGTCTAAGACATGATAACTACAGATCTAAATAACTAGAGTATTAACTACTAACTACATTGTTTAATGTGATATATAGTCCTAGAATGAACTTGATTGACATTTAAAGGCCCTGTACCTGATTTTTTTTCCATGTATCTGAGCAACATGTGTCTTGCCCGCATACAGATACATTTTGTATAAGCAGTTCTTGAGTAAGGCTGTAGGGCTTTAGTCATTTAGTCAGTTAATCAGTTAATGGCGTCTTGTTGAACTAAACTTGTATTAGTCGACTATTCATTTTATTTAGACTTTAAGGATTTAAATGGGAGCAGTCTGTGTCACTTTTTGTTGTTTTTGCCTGAACTCCTGTGCTGTTTGGGCCATATACTTGGTCAGATCACAGTAGTTCCCATAATTTAGAACTTCTTAAGTTGAGTACAGTCCAAGGGCAAAATATGTCCGTTGTGCACTGTCTGTATCTACGTGTAAAACATATTATCAAGTGTGTCGTTATTGTGCTGCTTGATGTTAGCTTTATCGCCATAGCAAAACTCTTTGAAAGTTGTGAAAAGCACTTGTTAATAATTAATAATCAATGAATAATTAGGATGTTCAGAATACATATGCAAAAAGCAGAATAACTTTGAACCACTGCAAACTGTTTAAAATGAACTCGTTCTGTTTTTCATGTTTTTAAAACAGTAAAAATCAGCTAGAGCATCTTTGAAGTTGCTTGATGACTGTGCTGTGTCCTTGTGTGCAGGCATGTACCTGTGTCCATGTTACTACCTCCCAGTGCGCTCGGGAAAGGCAGCCAGGCTACGTTCGCGGTGGGGGTGGAGCTTAAGTCTGGCTCTGCCTCTGTGGACCACTGGGTGAAGATAAGGACCGCCTTGCTCCTCAGCCTGGACACCTGAACCACTTGTTTTGCTCATTTGTTTATTGATATTGTTTGAATAAAATATTTGCGATATAGCGTGCAGCCCTGTGACATACTGTATTGCCCTATGATCAGGGGTGTAGTGGGCATGGTACATGGGGGTACGCCGTCCACCCACTTCTCCTGATGTGAGATATAAAAACATAACGAATATAAAATAGCTACAATTTAAATGTCAAACCTGAGCTACTGGCAACGATGAAAACAACCTGCATAGGCTAATGATATCTGCACGACTGTCCTATAATGACCTGAGACATGAGGGACCAGGACTGAACCAGGACTAAAGCAGGTCTAAACGAGGACTAAACCAGGTCTAAACCAGGACTGAACCAGGACTAAACCAGGTCTATACCAGAACTGAACCAGGACTGAACTAGGACTAAACCAGGACTAAACCAGGACTGAACCAAGACTGAACCAGGGCTGGGTGTCAAGGTGCGCCTGTGTAGACTGTCAGGTGACTGCAGGTGAAAAGACCGGCGCAGAGCTCTGTGCCACACGGGGCTAAGAGCAGCCGTCACCCAATCTCGCTTTGCGGACACCCTGCTCTGCGGGCTCTCTTGATCTCATGTCCAAGATTAGTTCTGGTTTAGTCTTGGTTTAATCCTGGTTTAGACCTGGTTTGGTCCTGGATTTGGTCCTGGTTTAGTTCTGGTTCAGTTCTGGTTTAGTCCTGGTTTCAGTTCTGGTTTTGGTCCTGGTTTAGTCCTATTTTAGTCCTGGTTCAGTTCTGGTTTAGTCCCATTTTAGCCCTGGTTCAGTTCTGGTTTAGTCCTGGTTCAGTTCTGGTTTAGTTCTGTTTTAGTTCTAGTTTAGTCCTGGTTCAGTTCTGGTTCAGTCCTGGTTTAGGTGGCAGGTGGGAGGGATTCATCTCATCAATGATGTTGTGAATCATGAATTTTGAGAATGATATGGCTTCCTCAAGTTTCTCAGAACTGTGAACCAGGACATGTTCTAGTACTGGAAGGAGACCTGTAAGTACAAGCACACTAAGGTTTGACTGTTTAAACTACATCAAGTTTGCACTAAAATCAACAATGACAATGTTATTCAAATGTCAAGTTTATTTGTTCAGTTCCACTTAAATACTTGTTGCCAGAACTTCCCTTGAACCACTAGAACACAGGTGTCAAACATGCGGCCCGGGGGCCAGATCCGGCCCTCCAACACCTTTAATCTGGCCCTAGGCTGATTTTCTACTAAAATATTTTAATTCTATTTTTTATTAAAATATTGTTAATTTTCTGTGGTGCTTATCATAGCGTCTCCAGTGCCTCTGTACGTGGCCCCTCCCACCAGAGCAACACAAATGAAGACTTGTCTCTTTCCAAACGCTCTTAAAGGACGATCGTTTTGACTGTTGACCATGACACCCTCATCAACAAAATGTGCAAAATGAGAAAAGTGGAGCCGAGTGCAGGATTTTCCAAGAAAAATTTACTTATTCCTATTTATACAAGTTAATGTTAAACAAGTTCATGTTAAAACATTGTGTTGAAATTGTATTTTTCTTAAAGTTTCAGGTTGTTCATAATATTATAATATTTTGTAAAAGAAAGAGTTCATCAATTAAAAAATATTTCTGTAATAGATTTGTGTTTCTCTGCACAAATATTTGAACTTATTGTTATTTTTGGGGTTTATATGACATGAGTTCTGATCCGGCCCCTTTAGGATCAAAATCGGTTGGATACGGCCCCCAGACCAAAATGAGTTTGACACCTCAGCACTAGAAGAAGCCCATGTACCACAGTTTGAGAAACCTTGCCCTGGACTTTGCATCTCCTCTGAGTTTGAAACAGATGGATGTGTCAAAAGTTCGAGACTGCTGTGTTACAAAATGACTTACATTGTCTAAACTCTAAACTTACTTTCAAAAATGTGACCTTTCCTAAACGGCTTGTCTTTTAGCATAATGGCAACTGACAGTGGAATTTGGTATTTGCAGGCCTCCACTTTGTGTGCCAATCAATAGGGAGGCGGGGCACCACTGTCCAAGTCTTCTACCAAAAAAAGAGAAAGAAAACTGCGTGAGACAAGCTTAGCAGAAGAAAAGAGAACGAGGGAGCAAGAGAGAGTGTGCGAGCCAGGGAGGACGGAGCAACCAAGCGAGGGGACAGCAGGAGGGAGCCACTCAAGTCCGACTCAATGGAATCAAAAACTGCGCAGTTACTTTTCCCACCGCAGCCTGTTCCCGCGCGAAACGGATGGGAGTTTCATCTTTTTGCGAAATGAAAACCCGCTAGGAAAGATGAGCCGTTGGATATCTGAGGAGGCTGGGACCAGAAGCGCTGTGCAATGATTTTCTGCGCGTTCTGACTGTGCAAAACCGTGCCCATCCGTCATGCCATGCCACAACCTCTCGAGTGGGCGTTTATCTAACCATGCCGCTGCCCTGTCCGTGTCTACCTGCTGCTGCTGCTGCTGCTGCTGCACTAGAGAGGAGAGCAGAGCAGAGCGCGTTTGGATGTCGTAGTTTGGGAATAACACTTCTTTTCATTTTGGCTTTGCTGCGTCATTCGTGGCACTTGCCGCACGGTACCGAGATGGAGAGCTCTGCGAATCCGGTTGTGGTGCGCCCTTTTCGGCCTCTCGCCACTTCACCAGCGCGATTCACGAGTGCGGACGGAAGGTAAGGGGAACACGTATGTGCGTATGTCACAGCAGCGGTGCCTCGACAGTGGATACATGTCAAATCTCCTTTTACAGCCCCGAGAACGACACGCGTGGAGCTACGTGTCCCTTGTGCGCCCATGATAACCTTGTCCATAAAACAGTACGCGTACAAAAATCGGATTTAGGTCAGCGTAACGTTTCTGATTGTGTTGAAAGTGCACAGCCTACAGCGCATCAAAGTTCGCATGGGTGGCATACTTAAGTTAGATTCTGCAGCTGTTTGATGCCGTACATCGCTGGTTCTTTTTACACGTAAGAAAAAACATCGTAGGTGTGGGTGATGTCATGTTTCACGGCCTGGAAGAGGGCAGTTTACGGGAAGGCAGGTCTGGTTTTAATCATGTCGCAATCGCCCTGTACTCATCTTGATCCGTAAATGAGTAAAAAGCCAATATTGCGTGGTGGTGCGTGAACGTACGTGGTGGGTGAGTGAGGAGAAGGCGTGCGATTTTCGCGGTATTTTAGAGAAACGGGGGAATAGTGAAATTGAGACTGTGTCGCAGTTTCTTTGGGATTGTCATGTGGTGAAGTTGTGGCGGGTTTTCTACCGTTTCCAGGAAGAGCGTTTGAATTTTCTTCCCCGAGATTTTTTTTTTTTCTGTCTCCACCCCTCTGCCGTGCACCTGTAGCGCAGCCCTTTGACACGAGAGGGCGCACTACGACAGTGAATCAAACCGCGTGCATTCAGTGGAGTTATAAAGATGACATTTTATTCTGATCTCTAGCATTTATTATCTATACGTGTGGATATGACTCAGATTGCAATAGTTTTGAATCATAGTTAATATTCACGATTTTACTGATTCATGTTATAATGATGTTGTTTCCTCATCACAAACAGACCTGGAGTTGTGTTTTGTTTCATTCACACACACAACCCTGCATTTTTAGGCTGAGTTCTTCTTCTCTCAAACAGAAAACACTGTTCTACCTTGTGATGTCATCATGTGGTATTACAGGAAGTGCTCCACTGTCTTTTGTAAACCCCATACACCTTCACTAGAATCGTTTGTATTGTTTCAGCTCTGTAATTGGTTTTCTCTAGCAACTGAATTAAAGGTAAAAGGAGCTGTTGACTTGAAAACTACCTCTTCATGACATCATAAGGTGGAACAGAGCATTTGGAGCTTTTGAGATGTAGACAGACTTAAGGCTGTGCAGTTAATCGAATTTTGATCACGATTTCGATTTGTGTGTTTGTTTTTAATTTGAAAGTTTTGAGTAAATTATTAATAACAAACTAGCAGCCTTCGTGATTTACTAATTGTGTCATTCAAATATCAGTTCAATTGCAATTAAAGGGACAGTCCAGAATTTTGGACATAAGACCTCATTTCCTAGTGAGCCAGAGTGTGGAGGCGTGTGGAGACACTTTTTGAAATATTCCATCCAGTCCTTGTATTTGCAGAGGTTGCAGAGTAGTGCATGTCAATGGTCATAGTTATCCTGCCACTAAAAACAGTCTGACCCACTCCACAAAACACCCGAAGCAAATCTATTATTACTCCAAACAATCTCCAAACTCATATAGTCGAGTTGAAACGATAGTAAGTGGTAAGTAGAAGTAAATAAGTATATTTATTTACTTATTTTTTAATATAGAGATATTATAGAATTGCTGGATATAGTTACTTATTTCATGCTCAAAGTATATTTTATTCATTTTATGTTTTATACATCGCAAAACGGCTCTAAGGTTCATATTTATAGCCTATATTTATTTTCAGTTTGAAAGTTTTGAGTATGTTATTAATAATAAAGTGTTTTGTTTTTGTTGAGAGAGAGAAATGCTGAATAAATGCATCATGGAACTAAAACAATAATCGTGATTTCAATACTGACCAAAATAATCATGATAATGATTTTTTTCCATAATTGAGCAGCTCTAGACAGACTAATAATAAAGAGTTACTCAAACATGTGAAACAAAACAACTCTAGATATGTTTTTGAGGTGGTAACTTAGACTTAGACTTTATTGATCCAGAAGGGAAATTATTTGGACACAGTAGCTCACACATCACAATGTAACATAATAATAAAGAGTAAAATATAAAAAGTAGTAAAAAAGATAGTGAGAAACTGGTGTCAAATAAGGCATGATTATATAAATGTGTATGTACAAGTCAAAATAAAATAGAAAAATAAGTACCGGCAATAAATAGGTATGTAACAATAACTGAAGTATCGTGATATTGTATAGTGAATACCGTGGGCCAACACTATATTGAATTACAAGTCTCTTTGCTTAAATTCATTGTTTTGGTGCAGCAATAGCTAAAAAAAATATATATATATATACGTATACCATGATCCTTTGTTCCATTACAGTGCAGATTACATCAAAAGTAATACAAATAATAATCACAATCACATTTTGTTCGTCTACAAAATATTGCAATATATATCGTACCGTGGGATGTATATTGTATACCGTATCGAGAGGTTTGAATATCATTACATCCCTAGTAATAAAAAAATCAACAATTACAATATTATAACATGGCTTAAAGCATACAAGAGTCTATATGGGACCTTTAAGTAGAGCCCGACCGATATGGATTTTGTTGTGGCCGATATGAAACCGATATAATGGAAGTTGGAGCTGCCGATATATTTAGTGATGTGAAAATTCACTGTAAATCTTGAATTGTTTAAAAAACTTAGGTTTGGCTCTAGTGGATTATAAATTGGGTTTATTTAGGCAACATTTATTGTTATTCTGACTCTTTACGTCATATTTACAGACAGTAGTTTGGCCTAATGGCATTTTTCATCACATTCTAGCTACTAGTGATGGGTGTTCCAGTTTTTTTTTTTTTGGAGAACCGGCTCTTTTGGCTCGGCTCACTAAAGCAGCTGGCTGTTTTGGCTCCCAAGCGACTCTTGAGATTGTTTTGTTGCAAGCAGGACTAAACCAAAACTGAACCAGGACTGAAAAAGGACTAAACCAGGACTAAAACAGATTTAAACCATGTGTAAAACAGGACTAAACCAAAACTGGACCAGGACTGAGTGTCGGGACTCGGTCTCTCCCTCACTCAAGCCCAAGATTAGTCCTGGTTTATTAATTTTATGCTGAACTGCCCCAAATATATACTTTTTTTTAATCCTATGCACACACAGATTTCTGAAAGTTTCGTTTTCAGCCGCTGCTGCTGTCAAACTACGGGTCTACATGCGGCTTGAAGAGAAAATGTGAGAAAAAGAGAAAATACGGCTCCCAATAAGAAACATGCTCCCGTTGTTCGCTTCAAAGAGCCGGCTCTAAGAGCCACTTCGATCGCGACAGACCCATAACTCCTAGCTAGTAAAGAAACTACCGCTATTAGCCTTTAGCCATAAAAACCTGCGCGCCGCGGTAATTAATTATATGCATAAATGTGGATCATTCACACGTCTATTCACAGCTCATTTACATATCAGTGCTGGTCCAGTAACAAATATACGGCCAATATAGTCACTTTACAATAGGCCAATAGAAAACAGCTTGTTTATGTGCGGGAGCTACAGCAGCTTATCGCTAATAACAAATAGCCAAAACTAGCTTCAAAGTCGATGTATTTCCAACACTCAGTGCTCACACAGGCTCCTCCTCACATCACAAGTCTGCACTAATAAAAGTCCTTTCAATCCAGACTCAAACCGACTGTCCGTAAAAAGAATATAATCTCAGTGTTGCGCACGGCTGCGGGTGTAAACAGTAGCACGTAAGTGAAGTGACGTGACTCTGGGGGTGTGTTCATTGACAGTACGGACACAGACAAATTGTCAGACATTTATCTGTCTGTAAATTGGATTAAATGTACATAATGTAGAGAGTCTAAGCTTTATAACGAGGTATAACATGCCCACGTGAAATATCGGCCGATAGCCGATATGTCTCCAGGTGCCCATTTCGGCCAATAATATCGGTCAGCCGATATATCGGTCAGGCTCTACCTTTAAGTAACAACAGCAACAACTGAATTGATTTTAAAGCGCTCTGACTTTTCTGCTGGAGGGTGACTGCGTGACTGAGGAAATATTGTATTGATTGGCAAGATAGTTTAGCAAGTTTAATATCTTCACGGACAAAAGCAGGTGATACCACTATAAACCAGGTCAGATCCACAGAGAGGTAAACCCACTCACAGGAGGGCTGCAAGATGAATCATAATTGAAATCCCAGTTTAAATGGAAGCAACTGCTGTAGTTTTTAAAGCGCCGTCATTTCTAAGCTATAGGGTAGCAGTTTTTATGCAGAATAAGACAGGAGATTTTTGTTGTTAAGGAAATGATTGTACTTGCAGCCTTTGTGATTTGCTGATTGTGTCATTCACATTTCAGTTCTGTTGCAATTAAGGGAATTTTGGACATAGGGCCTTATTTCCTAGTGAGTCAGAGTGTTGGAGACGTGCGGAGACACTTTTTAAAATATTTCATCCAGTCCTTGTATTTGCAGAGGTCGCTGGTGCTAGGCTAGTGCATGTCAATGATCATAGTTATCCTGCCACTAAAACAGTCTTACCCACTCCACAAAGCACCAGAAGCAAATCTATTATTACACCAGACTGTCGATGTGAATGTCTGTGTCAGTAGAATAATTTTAGAAGTAAAATGAACCTTGCATTTGAAGGATTTATGTCTGAGCAGTAGCAGCGAGTTGTACTTTCTGATAGAAGATATCTGTTATGGCTGAAGCAATGGAGGGACCCAAAAATGGACAGCAGACCAGATAAAAATGAAAGGGAGAATTTAGTTTACAAAATGCAAAGCAGGGCTGGAGCAGGGCTGGGTTTCAGGCAGGAGATGACAAGGAACACTGGAGACCAAAAGCGCAGGTAAGTCAAAAACTCGAAGAAAGGTAAGTAGGAAAACGTGGTAACAAGGAGCCAAGAGGTTCACCGTGCGTAGGACGAAAACGATGTGGCAGAGTCTGGCAGGAGAGCTGGGCCTTTGTAGCAGGCTTGATTGCAGATGGGGTGCAGGTGCTCCACCACCCACGTCCTCACACAGAAGACTCAGGACAGGCAGGGGCGTGACAATATCACCTAGCACCTATCTTACCTGCAAAGTAAAATTCCGCTGCTGAGAAAATAGTCCCTTAACATGCGACTATTCATGCGATGCAAGGTTAGTTTTATTTCAGACATTATTCTATCAACACAGACATTCACATGGACAGTCTGGTGTAATAATAGATTTGCTTCAGGTGTTTTGTGGAGTGGGTAAGACTATTTTTAGTGGCAGGCTAACAGTGGCCATTGACATTCACTAGCCTAGCACCAGCGACCTCTGCATATACAAGGACTGGATGGAATATTTAGAAAGTGTCTCCACACATCTCCAACTCTCTTGCTCACTAGGAAATGAGGTCTTATATCCAAAATTTCTGGACTGTCTTATTAATTTTGCAGCCCTAGTTACTAGTATTGAATTTTAAAAATACTGTTCATTCCTTCTAGATAGTAGGTTTGTTCTTGAATGATTGTGTATTGTTCTTTTGTAAATACATGGATACAGCAGTATAGCCCCTCCACCCGTTAGTGACAGGAACATTGTGAAAATGATTGGAAAACTAAATCTGAAATATTTGAAATTGAAATGTGGTGGACAAGTGGCTCTTGGGGTTTGAACTCAATTGTGATCTCCTAATGCCTTTTGTTGTGTTCACAGAGAGGCAGAGAGGAAAGGGCAGATATTTGAAGAACCACCAGCTCCAGACTAGAATCAACCCGCTTCTGCATCTTGTCAGCAGCAGCGCTTCCATGGCAACAAGGTGAGTACGAGTCGACTGTAGTGAAGAAGAGCACTCATCCCGTATTCATACTATGCAGTGACAACATGCTGGGGGTGTTCTACATGTATCTCTATGGTGCAATGTTCAGCAGTTACCATGGTGGCACAATGCACACAAAAGGTCCTCTGATCCTCCTCATACTCTGCTTTGAAACACTGTTCCACATTATGATGTCATGTCATAATACAGGAAGTCCTCCACTGTGTTTTAAACTCCATACACCTTCAATCATTCAATCAATCATTTTAGCACTGGGAGATATTGCCAAAAAATAAAAGCTTGATTTATTCATGTTTATTTCACCCTGGATGATTAAAATTCAAAATTTTATTGAAATTGCAAACTGTCTTCAGTTACATTTGTTACAGTTACAATAACCCTGCTTTGCAAATAAGAAATCAGTAGTAAACTTCATAATAGTCCTTGATTTCATGATTTAACTATTTTTCAAAATCTCGATTATTAAAAACTAGAGATGTAACAATAACTGAAATATCATGATATCGTATCATCAAAGCTCTCACAATAATATCGTGGGCTGTCACAGTATATCGAATTACAGGTTCCTTTGCTTTAATGCAGGTTTTATAGAAGCAACAGCTTATAAACATAGGGAATTACACATCCCATGATTCATTTCAGTGCAAATAACACGAAGAGATATGTTTTTTACTTGAATTCTTGGGATTATGATGGAAATAATTCTCACCAAAATCTTGTCAAGGTATATTAAAAGCAAAAAACTTTCCTATTTATAATTATTTTAGCCTTTCCAAAATATCTCAATAAATATTGTATTGTGAGATGCATATTGTGATAATATCGTACCGAGTAGGGATGTAACAATAACCAAAATATTGTAATATCGTATCGTCAAAGTTCTCACAGTAATATCGTTGACCATCACAATATATGAAATTACGAGTCTCTTTGCTTAAATAAAGAGTTATGGAGCAGCAAAAAAGACACCGGGAGCTACATAGACTATGATCCTTTGCTCCGTTTCAGTGTAGACTACAAGAAGAAATAACACTTCTAAGCACTTTCAAGTCTTAGTTCTTAGCTCACAATAAATATCGTACTGTGAGATGTATATCGTGAAAATATTGTAGCGAGTGATTTGGATATTGTTACATCCCTAATCGTGAGCCTCCCCATCATATCGTGAGCTTTTCTTTGATATTGCAATAAATGTCGTATCGTGAGGTTCATACCGTGACGATATCGTATCGCGAGACTTGGTTATCGTGACACTCCTCGTACTGAGAGATTTGGATATTGTTACATCCCTATTAAGAACCTGAATTAATCACATTAATACGATTCATTGCTCAACTCTTAAATCATTTGAATCATTTCAGTCCTGGAGTTGCCACTCTACTGAACTAAACCTAAAACGAAGCTGTTAACTTGAAAACTATCTCTGCATGACATCACAAAGTGGAACAGAGCATTTTGTGCTTTGGAGATGTAGACAGACTAACAATAAAGACAAACATGTGTGAATGAAACAGAACACAATCCCAGGTCTGTTTTTGAGGACACCTGGAGTCTCCTCAAAAACATGAAAATGAAATGAATGTAATATAGGACATTTAAGTTACGCTTACTTGAGTAGTAGTTTTCCCTAGTACTTTTTTGCTCTTACTTGAGTAATGCCTTGGCCCACTGTTTTGTACTTCTACTTGAGGAATATTATTTGGAAGTAATGTTACTTGAGTACAATTTGTAGCTGGAAGACTAACCCAAAAGTGATATGTTTAGAGAAAGTTGATACTCCAAAAAGTTCAGTTCGTTCTCATTGTTACTAGAAAGATTTCTTCTCTCCTCCACTCCCCTCCTCCTGTTTGGGCTGATCTACTCCTCCTCCTCTCTCGTGCCCTCTGACTCCTGTGACCCCGGGCCCCTCTCCAGTCTTTGTGTGAGGGGCCAGCTCAGTGAGGCCCTCGGAGCTGCTTTCCATCTTCCAACCTACTGCAGATAAACCCACTGATATGACCAGTGTTGTTCTACTTTACTTGTATTGGTTTATTCAAAGATTTCCTAATATTTGTCAACCGTTATTGGCTCTTAAGATTCCAATATATTTTGTTAGAGGCAAACATCTGACTAAAGGAAATACATAAAGTTTTAAATCACAGTTCATTACATTTTAGTGCAGCAGTGACTTCTGTCCGTCAGAAGGGGGCGATGTACTAAATGTGGCTTCAAATGGTTTGTAGTGAAACAGGAGTGGAGCAGAAATCATTGCTATATAGATTTTTATATTTTTCTAATGGCAGTAATTGAGTTTTGAGTCCTATAATCTGGGGAGAATCAAAATTGTTGCTTATTGAGTCTCTGAATGTTGTCAGATCTTATTGAGCCGTCAGATAAAAAATATCTAATTGTGATTTTTTTTTTTTTGATTTGAGATTTTTAAATTTTTTTTTTGGATCATGTTTAAAGTTCACATTTTAAACTCATCCAGGAGAATTGACTAAAAAACTGAAATATGAACTAGTGTTGTCATGATACTAAAATTTCAAGCTTGATGTAAGGAATAGACTTGATACTAGGGGTGTGCAAAAATATTGAAATATCGATAATACGTATAATTAAATTTAATGATACAATTTCGATATCTTGGGCGGCTGTATCGATATAACGCCAAGAGTATTTTTAGGTATATTTTACAAAATTATTTTGTGTAAGAGCTACAATTGTGTTGACATTTTAACTGTTTTGGGTAAAATGGGTGTTTTTCATATTAACTTTGAATAAACTTAGTGGACTTAGACTTTTAGTAACACAGACATGATTTAGTCTTTGTTTTTCACTGAACCGTATCAAATCGATATTATATTAAAATATATCGTATCAAATCATATTGAATCGAAAGTGCACTGTACCGAAAAGCGTATCGTATTACAGCTTATGTATCGAGGAATGTATCGTATCGGCAACTTCTTAAAGATACCCAGCCCTACTTGATACTGATTTCAATGCCATGATGATATAAAAAAAATAGCAGGGGTGTCAAATTATTACGTTAATTGCGATTAATTAATTACAGTTATATTTAGCGTGTTTTTTAATCGCGTTAATCAAATTTTTAATCTCTAACAAATCCCATAAAATGGGGATGTTGGCTTTCTTAAACTCTATTGAACACTGAGAAGCGGAAAGAAATTGTCTAAAATGTGTGCGAGATTAGATCACATCTGCAAGTTTAGTCTGCTTAAAATGTTTTAATAATCTGTTAAAGTTTGTTAAACTTTAAAATAAATGACTTTATAAAGTCACTTTTTTCTTTTGATCTGCCACAATAATATAATAATGATTTTAAAAGAAAATACCTCAAGTTGGGGCTTTTCTCAGCAACTTTTAGGTGAGATTAAAAAAATAGATTAATGAGATCAATTAATTACATATAAAAATTAATTAATCTAACAATTGTTTAATCTCTTGACAGCACTAAAAAATAGTAGTCCCGTATATTCCGGACTATAAGTCGCACCAGTCCAAAAATGCACAATGAAGAAGAAAAAACATATATAAATCACACCGGACTATAAGTCGCACTTTTTGGGGAAATGTATTTTATAAAATCAGAGACCAGGAACCGACATTTCATCTTAAAAGGCAAGTTCTAGTAATAACAGAATAGAGAACAGACTGAATAGGCGTTAATGTGTTAAGGTAACATATGAACAGTTATTCAAATAATTATAGCATAAACAATATAAGTTTACCAAACTCAGGATCTCACTCCAAATCACTGAATCCATTGAATTCTTCATCCTCTGTGTCACTTCTGCGCGACCTGCGGAGACAAATCATAGATCCATGATGTAAACGGAGCGCCACTTCCTCTTCTGTGTGGCTGTCGTCAGACTCAGCATCAGTTCCACTTAGAATTATTTCGACATTTCTAAATCCCCACAGGATGGTTTCAGTTTTCATTGAAGTTCAGGCTTTGTCGATGCATTCAGTGACTTCCAGGAAAGCTGCATGACGCACCCGCCCGGTTGCTGTGTTCTCCATCCCCGCTTTTCGCCAGTCCCTCACAAGTTTCTCGCTCACTCCAAACTTTTTCTCTGCTGCCCGATTATCGTTTTCGGCTGCATATTTCACTATTTGCAGGGGAACAACGGCTTTTTCTACAGGAGGCATGCGCAGTAGAGTGCGACGTGACAGTGGTACAGGACTAATAGCAGATCCATGAGTAATAGTAGTACTAGATACTAACACACAAGACTAGAGCGCCCTCTCGCAGCTGTCAGTCTGAACATTTGAATATATAAGTCTCACTGGAGTATAAGTCGCAGGAAACGCCCAAACCATGAAAAAATGACTTATAGTTCGAAAAATATGGTACATTCTTTTCTATTCCCATGTGGTCTTACATGTGTCCAGGTAGGTTCCACAGTGGTGTACTAGTCTATGTGCTCTTATACTTGTTCTGACACAGCTCAGGATCATTCTAAAGACATTCACGAAAGCTTCATTTCTGTCCTGTCAGTGGAACTTTTTAGTACCGATACCTGCTCAAATGAGTATCAATACCAGTTTTTGAATTGATTAGAATCTGATTTTTGATACTTTGGAAACCCTACCTCTGAATCTCCATGCTGTTTTCAGTGGAGGGCTGGTTTACATCTATTGTCCTCCTTCAGACACTGTGTCTTTATTGAGAGGAAGCTTCACTAACCAAGTTACAGGCAGATATGTGTGTGTCTGTGTGTGTCTGTGTGCGTCTGTGTGTGTGTGTGTGTGTGTGTGTGTGTGTGTGTGTGTGTGTCTGTGTGTGCGTGCGTGTGTGTTTGCGTGCTCGTGAGTGTGCACGTCCAGGGCTGTGGCTCTAACTCAATCACATGAGACACAGCAGCACATGCTCTGGGCCTGAACATGACGAACACCAGAGGCTCCTACATTCTCTATATGTCCTCTGTCCTGTTTCCTACCTCCTCTCTTTTGTCCCTACCTCCTCTTTCCTGTCTCCTACCTCCTCTTTTTCTCCTCTATCCTGTCCTATACCCTACTTCTTTTGTTTAGTGGTCTCGTACCTCTGATATCATTCCTCCTCTGCCCTGCTTCCTCTCTTTTCTGCTATGTCCTGTTTCCTACCTCCTCTGTCCTGTCTCATACGTCCTCTGCCTTGTCTCCTTCCTCCTACCTTCTATGTCAGATCACTTACCTTCTCAGTCCTGCCTTCTACTTCTTTTGTCTCACCTCGTTTTCTGTCTTCTAACTCCTCTTTTTTATCTCCTACTTCCACACTCCTTCCTCCTCTGTCCTGCTTCCTATCTCCTCTGTCTTGTCCCCTACCTCCTCTGTCTTGTCCCCTACCTCCTCTGTCTTGTCCCCTATCTCCTCTGTCTTGTCCCCTACCTCCTCTGTCTTGTCCCCTATCTCCTCTGTCCTGTCTCTTATCTCCTCTGTCCTGTCTCCTATCTCCTCTGTCTTGTCTCCTATCTCCTCTGTCCTGTCTCCTACCTCCTCTGTTCTGTCTCCTACCTCCTCTATCTTGTCTCCTTCCTCATCTGTCTTGTCTCCTACCTCCTCTGTCCCGTCTCCTACTTCTTACCTCATCTGTCTTGTCTCCTGCCTCCTCTGTCTTGTCTCCTACCTCCTGTGTCTTGTCTCCTACCTCCTCTATCATGTCTCCTACCTCCTGTCTTGTCCTCTATCCTCTCTTTTCCTTCTCCTGCTTCCTACCTCCTCTATCTTGTCTCCTGCCTCCTCTGTCTTGTCTCCTTCCTTCTCTGTCCTGTCTCCTACCTCCTCTGTCTTGTCCCCTATCTAGTCTGTCCCTTCTCCTACTTCCTACCTCCTCTGTCTTGTCTCCTACCTCCTCTCTTTTGTCCCCTACCTTCTCTGCTCCTTCTCCTGCTTCCTACCTCCTCTGTTTTGTCTCCTACCTCCTCTTTCTTGTCTCCTTCTTCTTCCCTCCTCTGTCCTGTCTCCTACCTCCTCTGTCTTGTTTCCTGCCTCCTCTGTCTTGTCTCCTCCCTCCGCTGTCTTGTCTCCTCCCTCCTCTGTCTTGTCTCCTCCCTCCTCTGTCTTGTCTCCTACCTCCTCTGTCTTGTCCCCTTCTCCCTGACCCCTCCTCCTAGTCCCCTACCTCCTCTGTATTGCCTCCTACCTCCTTTCCCCAAGTCCTCACATCCTGTCTCCCACATCCCCTCATATGTCTTGTCTTCAGCCTACTCCTTCCTGTATCTTAACTCCTCCCATGTTTCCTCTGCGCTGTGTCAGTTACCTCACATGCTGTCTCCTTCAGTCTCCTTCCTCCTCTACCTCCCATCCCACCAGCATCTTGTCCTCATCATCTTAACATGTTTTGATCCTTTGTTCATATCCTTCCTACTTTCTCCCACAATTCTGTCCTCCCTTCTACCTCATTGTTCTTTTTTCTCTTATGTAGGAAAGAGAAGATATTGTGTTTTATGAATATGGGAAGGAGTGAGATCACAGCTTTAATAGTCTTCACAGCTACTGACTAGAACATCGCTGTCGGCCTTCAGTCTCCAGTACGTTTTGTTTTTGGCCGACCTGTATGGAGATAGGTTAGTGTCATTCTCATCAAATAAATATCACGACAATCACAAATACATTTCTTCTTCTCTACCTCCTCTGTCCTGTCTCCTACCTCCTCTGTCCTGTCTCCTACCTCCTCTGTCCTGTCTCCTGCCTCCTCTGTCCTGTCTTCTACCTCCTCTGTCCTGTCTCCTACCTCCTCTGTCCTGTCTTCTACCTCCTCTGTCCTGTCTCCTACCTCCTCTGTCCTGTCTCCTACCTCCTCTGTCCCATCTCCTGCCTCCTCTGTCCTGTCTTCTACCTTCTCTGTCCTGTCTTCTACCTCCTCTGTTCTGTCTCCTGTCTCCTCTGTCCTGTCTCCTACCTCCTCTGTCCTGTCTCCCAACTCCTCTGTTCTGTCTCCTGTCTCCTCTGTCCCGTCTTCTGCCTCCTCTGTCCTGTCTCTTACCTTCTCTGTTCCTTGTGTCCTGCCTCCTCTGCCCTGTCTCCTACCTCCCCCCTTTTTTCCTGTGTCTTACCTCGCCTCTCTTGTCTCCTACCTCCTCTGTCCTGTCTCCTACCTCCTCTGTCTTGTGTCCTACCTCCTCTGTCTTGTGTCCTACCTCCCCTGTCTTGTCTCCTACCTCCTCTGTCGTGTCTCCTACCTCCTCTGTCATGTCTCCTACCTCCTCTGTCTGTCTCCTACCTCCTCTGTCCTGTCTACTACCTCCTCTGTCCTGTCTCCCACCTCCTCTGTCCTGTGTCCTACCTCCTCAGTTCTGTGTCCTACCTCCTCAGTTCTGTGTCCTACCTCCTCAGTTCTGTGTCCTACCTCCTCTGTCCTGTCTCCTACCTCCTCTGTCCTGTCTCCTACCTCCTCAGTTCTATGTCCTACCTCCTCAGTTCTATGTCCTACCTCCTCTGTTCTGTCTCCTGCCTCCTCTGTTCTGTCTCCTACCTCCTCTGTCCTGTCTCCTACCTCCTCAGTTCTATGTCCTACCTCCTCAGTTCTATGTCCTACCTCCTCAGTTCTATGTCCTACCTCCTCTGTTCTGTCTCCTGCCTCCTCTGTCCTGTCTCCTGCCTCCTTTTTCGTGTCTCCTACCTCCTCTGTCTTGTCTCCTACCTCCTCTTTCGTGTCTTCTACCTCCTCTGTCCTGTCTCCTACCTCCTCTCTTTTTTCCTGCATCTTACCTCTCCTCTCTTGTCTCCTACCACCTCTGTCTTTTCTCCTACCTCCTCTTTCCTGTCTCCTGCCTCCTCTGCCTTGTCTCTTTCTTCCTCAGTCCTGTCTCCTCTGCCTTGCCTCCTCCTTCCTCTGTCCTGTCTCCTGCCTCCTCTGTCCTGTCTCCTCTACACCACCTCGTTCCTCCTTGCTCACACTTCTTCTTTACGTCATCTCTCGTTGCCTTCTCACAACTCCTCCTTCCTGTCATGTTTCTTGCATCTGTTCTGATCTCCTTTCTCCTCTCTACTATTTCCTAAATCCTCTCAAACACCTCCTCTTCCTTGTCTCCTACCTCACCCTGTTTCCTACATCCTCAGACATGCCTTTAGATTCTGCGTCCTAGCTCTCAAATACCTCTTACGTTCACCGGATGACTGAGCTCAGAGTTGATTGTGTTTGTTCTAATAGACAAATTCCACTCTTCAATAGGGACTTACGCAGATTATCTAACTCCGTTCTTAACAAGTTATGGAACATTTTTAAAGGGATTATATTATGCAATTTTTAAAATCTGTGTTCTAATGTTTTCTCATCACAAACAGACCTTGAGTTGTGTTTTGTTTCATTCACATGTTTAACACACAAACTCTGCAGATTTAGGTGGAGTTCATCTCTCAAACAGAAAAAAAAACCTCCCTTCCACCTTGTGATGTCATGTGGTAATAAAAGAAAAGGTCCATTGTGTTTTTAAACTCCATACACCTTCACTAAAATCGCTTGGATCATTGCAGACCTGGAATTGGCCATTTCTAGTGTGCAAAAGAGTAGCTGTTTACTCGAATACTACCACTACATGACATCACAAGGTGGAACAGAGCATTTTGAGCTTCGGAGATGTAGCCAGAATAACAAATGGTTACTCAGACGTGTAAATGAAACAAAACGCAACTCCAGGTCTTATTTTGAGGAGCTGACAACATTATAACATGGCCTAAAGTAGACCTGTCACGATAACACATTTTGAAACACGATATATATCGCTACAGAGAGGTATCGTGATAAACAATAATATTTAATATAGGATAATCCCAGTAAACCAGTTTTTAAATAGCATAATCTTAAAAAGCATGAGCTCCAACAGAACAGAACAGAATTAAGTGAAAAATAGCAAGTTATTTGTTCAAGTGTCTACAACTCAAATCTTTTCTTATTATATAAAAATGCCGATAAAATCTCCTCACTGTTGCAAAAAAAAAAAAAAAAAAAAAAAAGGACCCATGTTAAATATTGTATTGAATGATATGTCAGTATTGTAATTATCGTGACAGGTATATCTCTAAGCTCACAAGAGTCAATTTTGCCTAACATAGAACTTTAGAATTAAGGCTGTGTAATTAATTTAATTTTTTCACGATTTGTGTGTCAAAAAATCACCAAACTCATATAATCAAGTTGAAACGATAAAGCTTAACAAAGTTTATTTTGGGTATAAATAAGTATATTTATTTTATGTTTTAGATATAGAGATTGTAGAACAGCTGGATATATAGTTTATTTTGGATATGTTTGTTTTTCTATTTACAAAGTATATTTTATTCATTTTATGTTTTATACATTGCAAAACTGCTCTAAGGTACATTGCACATTTGTAGTGGGGATGTAACAATATCTAAATCTCTCAGTACAATATTATCACGATATGCATCTCATGCTACGATATTTATTGCAAGATTTTGGAGAGGCTAATTAGATAGGACACGTTTCTGCTTTTAAAATACTTTGACAAGATTTTGGTGTGAATTATTACCATCATAATCCCAAGAATTTCACTAAAAAACACATTCTCTTCACTGAAGTGAATCATGGGATATGTAGTTCCCTATGTTTATAAGCTGTTTCTTCTATAAAACCTGCATTTAAGCAAAGGAACCTGTAATTCAATATATTGTGACAGCCCACGATATTATTGTGAGACTTTTGACGATACGATATCATGATATTTTGGTTATTGTTACATCCCTAATTTGTTGCCTATTTATTTTCAATTTGAAAGTTTTGTGTAAATTATCAATAACAAAGTGGGGGGGTTTTGAGAGAGAAAAATGCTGAATAAATGCATCATGTAACAAAAAAATTATTGCTTGAATAATCATGATTTCAAAATTGACCAAATAATAATCGTGATAATAGTTTTTTCCATAATCGAGCAGCTCTACTTTGGATTATTTGCGTTTTAACTGCGTTTCATCTTTCAGCTCTTCTCTACTGTGCTTCCTATAGCCTAGTTCTGAAGGATGTAGCGTTGCTTTGAGCTCCTCCTGTTGTTGAGAGAATATGTTAAACCGGAGCTATACCCAGTTACTGTACGTAGCCCACATGTGCGCTCTGCTATTCCACCCCCCCGACCAGGGCCTGTGTTGCCATGGAGAAGCTCAGATTGAAAATGCTAAGCTGAACTTCCAGGATTGGCCCGGGAGCCGCACACAAGACGATGATGCGCGCGGCGTGTCGTCCAATCGGCTGCCGGCGCCTGCATGCTGTTGCTAAGGGGAGTAGCTTGGACCGGAGTCAGCTGGGTTTCCTCTCTCTCCGTGTTCTCCCCGTGCGTGCGGTGCTCGCTCGCCCGCTCCGCTTTGCCCTCGATGACACTGGCCCCCCCCGTCTGCGTCTCTCCCACATTTTTGCTCCGGGACACGTGCGGAAGGGGAAGGAGCACATGCTGAAAACTTGTTCTGAATATTTCATGCAGTTTTTGAGTGCGAAGGGGCTGGGGTTGTGTGTTCAGAGCACACACCAGAACTACTGCAGTTTATACCAGTATGTCAGATATGTCAAATGTAACCGTGAACTCTCATCTTCTCGTGTTGTCACAAGAAAATTTGACACTAATCGATATTAAAACTAGTATCGAAACTAGATCCTCATTTGAGCAGGTATCGGTGCTGAAAAAGTCCCATTCTCAGGACAGAAATTACGCTTTCCTCAATCACTTTAGAATGAACTTGAGCTGTATTAAAACATGTATAAGAGCACATAGACTAGTATACGCCCACGGACCACTATAGAACCTACCTGGACACATATAAGGTTACATGGAAATATGGTAAAAGAAAGTACTATCATTTAATGTGGAAAATCGCATTCTATTGTCTGATCTCATCATGGCATCCCAATTGGTATTATGGTGGCAACACTAGATAGGACTAGATTGATATTCTTTTATTCTTTAAGTAATAGTTTATTGGCACATTTTTGTCCTTTGTCTTAATCTCTTTGTGTCTACATGCTGACGTTTAGACCTGGTTTATGCAGAGGTGCGTGCAGTAGTAAATGCTGTTCTCAATAGTACTAGTACCGTATTTTTTGGACTATAAGGCGCACTTAAAATCCTTTAATTTTCTTAAAAATCGATGGTGCGCCTTATGTATTAATTCTGGTTGTGCTTACTGATCTCGAAGCTAAGCAACGAAGCCGCACCACTTGATGGATTGTTGGCCACCGTAGTCAGGAGCTTCACAGAGAAAAAGACGTAGTATAGTTCTGCGGCAACTCAACGCACACTGTCGCCGTCGCCTTGTCACCTTTGTCACAGAAAGAACACATATATTTCACTGAGTTGTGTCCATTTAGTCCGACAGAAGCTGAACCGCATCAGCGCACAAGGAGCGAGCAGGTTTTTCCAGTGCTTATAGTTTATGCAAATGAGCCATGTGGTTTTAAGTTTTGTTTTTGTAACAACAAATGCACTCAAAGCTGCATTAAACACATTATTACTCAATGTATATTTGAGTCATCCTTGTCGGAAATAAAAAAAAAAAAAAAAAAACTTAAATCTTAAAATCTTAAATTAATCCAGCCACATTCACATTCATAATCCACATTCCCCAAAACAGGGAGGCAACCCCGGGCGAATTACGCCACGATCTGCCAATGGATCGTGGACGTCTGGGCTAAGGATCAGTCTCAAGTATTGTCCGTTTGTATGTCTTAATCTGCTTTATAATCTGGTGCACCTTATGTATGAAAATAGACGAGAGAATTCAACATTATTCATATTGTGCTTTATAATCCTGTGCGCCTTAAAGAAAAATACGATACTTCACAACAATATTTGCCTGAAGTAGTGTTGTCATGAATTTGATACTATGGAATAGGCTTGATTCTGATACCACGATGATCATAAAAACACTTTTCCACATTAAATGGTAGTACGTTCTTTTCTTTTCCCATGTGGTTGTATATGTGTGTAATCTCTCAGTGGTGCAGGTAGGTTCCACAGTGGTTCATGGGCGTGTACTAGTTTATGTGCTCTTATACTTGCTCTGTTACAGCTCAACATCATTCTAAAGACAATCAGAAAAGCTTAATTTCTGCTCAAATGAGTATCTAGTTTAACGACTAGTTTTAGTATCGATTACTATCAGATTTTCGACACTTTTGACAACCCTAGCACAAAGTAATGGAAGAAACATGTACTCAAGTAAGAGCAATTCTAAGAGTAACTGTCAGGTTGTAACAGAACGTAAAACAAGGCACAAAATCTGACACAAAAATAAGACAAATACTTTTACGGAACAATAACCACAACTTTTATTCAAGTAAGACTACTGTTATGTTGTACAATATATTACTCAAGTAGTCAGGACTTATTTGACCTAATCTTGACATAAACTGAGAAGTATTTTCGTCAAAGGTTAAACAGTTAAACGTTGTGATCCAGAGTACTGCGTGTTGTGTATTTGCTCTCCTCCTTCTCAGTGGGATAGTTTCATTTGCGAGAGCCGCATTACATCATGAGAGAATCGTCACACTTCCTGTTTCCTGGCACGGCTCCTCTCTTTGTTCACACACACGTTCCTCCTCCCCTCCCTCTTTCCCTCTTCCTCTCTTTCTCCCTCCATCTCACCTCTCTCTCTCCTCTACTTTTGCTTCTCACCCTCTTTTTTTTTCTTCCCTCTTTCCTTTTTTTCCCCTCGCACCCCTCGCATCCTCTTTTCTCATCCTCGCTCCGTTACTTCTGGCCTCTCTCTCTCTCTCTTCCCTTCTTCCTTTCTTCCCCTCGCTCCTCCTGGCTCTTCTTCTCTCTCTCTCCTTTTTTTTCTATACTTTATCTTTTTTTTCTCACACATCTCATTGTTTCATCTCTCTCTAGTTTCTTTTATCACCCGTTTTATCACCTCTCCTCCTTTTCTTTTCTCTCCTCTCACACCTCTCCTCTCCTTCTCCTCTCTTGTATATGCTCTCCTAGTTCCCCACCCCTCTCCCATCCCCTTTTCTTTTCCTCCTCTCTCCCTCCCCTTCTCTTTTTCTCACCCGTCTCTACTCTTTCTCTTCTTCTCACACATCTCTGTATTCTCTCCAGCTTTCTCACCTCTACCCCTCTCTCTTTTCTACTTTCTAGAAAACTATCTATAGTCCCTGTCTTCTTCTCACATCCCCTATACGCTCTCTCTACTCCCCTCACTTTACTTTTTCTCTCTATCCTTTTTGTCTCTTTTTTTTTCTTTTCATCCCCCTCAATCCTGTTCCTGTCCTGCCATCTTTCTCTCTTAGCTGTCCCCTCGCTTTTCCCCAGTCTTTCTTCTTCTTCGCACTCTCCTGTCTGACTCCCTTCATCTCTCTCTCTCTCTCTCTTCCTTCTTTCTTTCTTTCCTTCTTTCCTTCTCCTCGTCCTCCCTAGTCTCCTCCGGTCCCCTTTCTCTGCACTCTCTTTAGGGTTAAGTGCTGTTGTTGAGATGGTTCACATTCGTTGGGCTCTGGCTTCAGAAATAGCTCGCTCTCAAACTGCTGTTGGACTGAAATAGACTCGTGTGTGTGTGTGTGTGTGTGTGTATGTGTGTGTATGTGTATGTGTATCCCTCAGACTTTCCACTAACAAAACATCGCTCATGCCTTCACCAACCAAAACAATGTCAGAGTAGTAGTGCTTTTTCTATTGTGCGAATTCTGACAAACTCTTCAGGCTGTAAATTGTCGGGTGCCAGCGGGGCCCGTGTACCATTTGTTCTTTTGAATTTCAATTAAGAATGAAAAACAATAAAATGGGAAAACAGTTTGTTATTATTATTCTGTTTTAGTGTCAAACAAAGAAACAGATTTCGACCTCAATTTCCAATATTTAATTTAAAGTTGATTTCAAATAACGTCAATCAAAAAGCAGTCTCAGTGCCTGTACCCTTTAATTTTGATATTTTATTCTCTCTGGTTTATTTGTCCTGGAAGTTCTGCTGCTCAGCGCGCCACGTGCGAATTCAGCGTTAACTGAACAAAGGAGAGTTTATTGCTGCTTCCTGTTTCTCGTCATGGAGTTCAACAATGACTTTCTGAGACGCGAAAGTAAACGCGTCGCTATAAAGGAAGAGGACGTGTTTGTTCACAAATTTGCAGCGTTTTTTCAGGGAAGTCCTTCTAGCAGCAGAACTTCCAGGGCAAATAAACCAGAGAGAATAAAGTATTGTTTATCATTCTTAATTGAAATTCAAAACAAATTTCTTCTGTTACCTTTTGCTGTTTCAAAAAAGCTAAATTTGCCAAATATAATGGAACGCTTCAATGACATGGAGATGAAGAAAACTGGGAGATTTTCATTTTTCCTAGATTGTGTCAGACGTAATACCGCGAACAGAACCCGCCGAAAGTTGTCAGCACATATTTCCGAACGTCTTTCTGGTTTGCGGCGCATTACATATGTCACGACCAAATAGCAGGAACTAGTCAAAGAAAAAAGTACCTGTCTACCGTCAAGTGAACGAATCCTAACGCTGTGAGGTCAGACGGTTTCCACGAAGTGAAACCGGGTGGTGAATCAGGCTATAGTTATGGTGCAGCTTTGCTCCATTTCAGTGCAGACTACATAAAGAAATAACTGTTCTAAGCACTTTTAAGGCTACGTCCACACAGCAACGCTCCTGGATTTTTTTCTATGCGGGTTGAAAAAAATTCACGTCCA